ATGTCATAATAAATCAAAACACGAAATCGATATATAAAATACATAAATACTATTTAATAAAATAAAAATTACTTATAACTTAACATAGATGTGTCATTTAATTACAACAGTTGTGAAATTTAACATACAATGTGAATCTTATTCTTTATTTAGAATCTTACTTTAAACTGTTTACTTTACAACTTGAATCTATTCAAACGAAAAGCAAAACAAAAATAAATCATAATGTGTACATACATAATGTGTAAAAATAAATACATTACAATTTTTTTTTTTTTTTAACTGTTCAAAGATATTCCTAAACTTTGAACATGCTAACTGTGGATTTAAAAAGTCCATTACGTAAATTTTAAACTAAAGGATACAAAACGCGTACGGGGCACCAAAAAGCTGTCAATACATAAAAATTGCAGGAAGAAATTGTTAAAAATCGACAAATACCCACAATATAGTATATATAGCCAACGCGGAAAAAACCAAAAATAAGCAGCAAAAACATTCAAAACATACAAGCATACCAAAAGAGCGAGGGAGATTTGACTTAGATATGTAACAGATTACGTTTAAACTTCAAGCGGATTTTTTTTTTTTTTTTTATTGCGCGCACAGTTCGACCTTAGAGGAAAATTTTCGTTCGAAGTACGAGATACCACTGTAATTTTTTATATTTTCGGCTATTGCGGCTAGTGTGAGAAGCCGAGTGCCTTAGATAAGGGGTGGCCAACAATTTTTGCCCCCGAGCCGAATTGGAAAGAGAACTTTTTCCACGGGTCGAACCAGAAGCTGCCCTAGGAAGATTTTGAGGTGGTGCTAGATCTCATTGTGATGTCACCTCGTAGAGACTAAATTGTAGATAGAGATTACAGATACATTTTCCACATTATCATGCTTTATCAACATTCTACGCTGTACTTAAGAGATTTGTAATGGAAGGTTAACTCTAACCAGACAGTGAGTTGTTTTTTTTTTTCTTTTTGGCGTTAGAATTTTTCACCAAGCTATTCTGACTTGAGTAGCTAATATTGAAAGATTAATTGCGGGCCACATAAATCCATTACACGGGCCGTATGTTGGCTATGCCTGCTCTATACCTTTAAAAGACCTTAGATTTAACTCCGACCTAATGTACTGTACATAGGAGCAACTATGCGGAACTTGAAGAAAAGGATTGATGAGCACAGATACTCAGTGAATAAAAGCATTGATAGTACGGTCCTCGCTGCGTTTGCCGAACAGCAGGATATCACAATATTCTGGGATCAAGTGGCCATTATTAGAGCAACAAGATCCACACAAGCAGTGAGACAACTGGAAAAAATGGAGATTCACAAAGCACAGATGACCACACAGTACATCAATCACAGAGATGCCGACGGTTTGTCCTCACCTGGATGTCCTTTTATGATAGCATTGGTTAACATATACATCTTCATAGACGGCATTTTTAATTAGTTACGTTAATATTTATTTTTAATTAGTTGTTTATACTTTTTATCTTTGTTTATTGTAATTTTATTGAGAACGGATATGCGCGTTACTGTTAACATGTGCATCCGCGGTTTGAATTTTGGTATTTCATAAATTTGAATACTTTGTTCATTACAATGATAGAATAACTAAAGATTGCTTAAATCGATCAAAAACGTTTTTAAAGTATTAAACATTGTGCTGGACTAGTGAAAGGTGTTGTTTATTTTACATTATTTTTTTAGTTCCAGTAAGCATTTGTTTATTTACATTTGGTGTCATCTGCTTCCTCCATGACATTAATATCTACACAGATGGGTCCAAGAGCCCCCTTCATGTTGGCTCAAGTATCTCTTTCTTCCTCCAAACTGACATATTTTGCCTAAAATATGTTAGAAGGTACAGATATCCCCATACCTCCATCTATCAAGCTAAAAAAAATGCTGTCTACCAAGCTGTTCAGTGGGCCACTTCACTACCAAACAAAACTCTGTCTATCAACATTTACAGTGATTCTCAGTCTGTCCTAAAAGCTCTATTAAATCCCAATTGCAATAGCAATAAAATTACATATATCCAGCACCATATTAAAAATCTTGTAAATAAGATAACTTTCATATTTGTTCCTGGCAATACTGGCATACTAGGAAATGAAAAAGCCAACACTGAGGCTAAGTCAGCTGCAAAGGACACTGACTTGGACTATACTCACATCCCTCTCTCACGTAGCAGCCTTAAAAATTATATTCATGACAATGCTATGCAAAAGTGGAATCAACAATGGTTGAGCAGTAAAACTGGTGTAATAACAAGATTTTATTTTCCTAGTGTTGAATGCAGGTTCTCATCACCACTTAGAGATTTAATATTTGCTACTGCTCAACTAATTACTGGGCATGATAATTTCAGAAGCTACCTGGCAATGTATAACTGGGTAGAAACTGCCTCTTGCTTTTGCTCTGCAGAAAACCTACACACTGTCAACCATATGATCTATCATTGTCCAATTTACAATCAAGATAGACTTATTCTGAAATTAGAAATCTTTACGCTTGGTTTCAGGTGGCCATCTCCACTTGATAAGCTTGTTCAGAAGCCACTGTTTGATGCTTTTTACAATTATGTTCAAAAAATATGAAAAAAAGACTATTTATAATTTATAATTTCTAGTTTTACATTTTAGTTTTCACTAAAAGCCGAATACTAATTTTATGTTTACTTTGTATCATGTATTTTGGTTTATGTTATACACTAAGAATACAAAAGAATGATGCACTTATCCTAATAAAAAAAAAAGAGAGAGAAACCACCACACAGCCTTTCTCCCATGATAAAAAATATGTAGAGCATGAGTCTGCTAATGTTATTATCAGGGCTGTGGAGTCGTGTAAAAATCTACCGACTCCAACTCTGACTTTTCCTTACCCTCCGACTCCGACTCCGACCAGAGGCGGATTTGTTACCGAAAGAGACCCGGAAATTCTGATGTCATCACGTGACCTCAGAATAAAAGATTCAATAAATAGAGTTGTAATAAAGATAGAGCGTAGAAACTTTTTATTCCAAAACTAAAAGACTTCTCTAAGTAATATATAAATATGTATTCGATTATTTTTACTTTTCCGGCTGTTATATATAACAGAGGAAAAGTGTAGCGCTCAGTCAAAAAATGACCCCTCCCAAATTTTTACATTTTTGGACTCAGGACACCATAAAATTTCGAGATATACAAAAGATTCGAGGTTTTTTCTATACGTGTGGATGTTAGACTGTGGGGGGGCAGTGGCGTAGCATGGGTGTCAGCCGCCCGGAGCGGAGGAAAATTTCACCACCCCCTTATTTAGGTATCTCAATTTAAAAGACTAAAATTCAGTTTCGTCACAGAATAATTAATGAAAAATTCCGTGCTAGTGTTGCCACCTTTATAAATCGCTGACCTGGACGGCAGGTGAGGTTTGTTCAAACAGAAGTTCCTGATGCATGCGCAATGTCATTTTGCAATGCGAAGAATAATGTGCAGTGCATGCCGATTCTAAATCAGTTACAATTAGCGACTAGAGAGACTTGGATACGAGTAATGCAAGTGACCTAACTCTATTGGACTTTGGAGGTNAAAAAAAAAAAAAAAAAAAAAAAAAAAAAAAAAAAAAAAAAAAAAAAAAAAAAAAAAAGGTTGACAGGTTGACACAATATCTCCAGACAGCGAGTCGGATGGTAACACTACTCCGTGCTCATTTCAATTGGTCCGAATCGTAGGTGGACGAAAGTATAAAATAAAATGGTTCAAATTCTTACAAGATATTATTATTATTTATTGTGAAATTTTGCCGCCCACTAAAACGTAATTTTGCCGCCCCCTAAAAAGTGCCGCCCCTGATGCCCCCTTCACTACGCTACTGGTGGGGGGCATGATTTTGTTTATTCTGTTTGAAGCCTAATAATTTCTGTGATCAGAATGGTCAGAATCGGAGTCAGATGGTTTAACACAGGAGTTAGTTATTAAGTGTCAAAGTGGTTGAACTAAATCGTGTCCCCATATACATTCTAACATCTTAGGCGAGAACATCTTAACGGGTTTTACTGTACTACAGTATTATAAAATGGCTAAAAAGCTTACTTTGAGGGTATAGACGAGTTTTATTTTCTTTTTTTAAATTTTGAATGCTAATAACGAGTAAAATATTCATTAAGAGATATGACACATGACCACTTTTATGTCTTTACCCTGTCGACCTTTCATTAAAAACCAAAATTTAATAGCATTAATGCCCCTTCATACGCAAGCTACAGTACCACATTTCATTTCTTAAACTTTACCCATTCTGAGATATTGCTTAATATCTCAGAATAGAAAATAAAGAAATTAAACAAATTAGATGCCAACACACACACGCACGCAAATTTTTTCCCTTTACTGACATTTTTGAGAGTTTCAGGGGGTCTCCAAACGTGTAGATTTGCAAACAAATTTTGGAGGGTAAAATTTGACACGATTCCAATACTTTTCCGTTTTATATACATAACAAGTTGGTAAGTAAAAAGGAGTTGGAGTCAGCGGACTTTTTGACAACTCTGACTCCGGCTAAAACACCAAAACTCCACGACTCCGACTCCACAGCCCTGGTTATTATTCTATCACGTCACATGAGATGGTGTTAGTACAACAAGCATTCTTAATAGAAATGGTCAAATTGAAGCCAAATTCAAAACTCCACCACTCAACAAGATCAAAAAATAAAAATAAGAATATTACGTAAGATGAGATCTATTACCCCCCTAGCCCTGAGTAAGAAATCGTAAGAAATCCTTGACCCCACCCACCCCAAAATACCTTATGTAATTTATGGATAGCCCCTTAAATAAATAGCATTTAGCATGAGAATATAATGTAAGCATAACTAAGTAAATTAATTTAGAGAAAAATGCCCACAAAAACCTAGCAGTTATGAAAAATTGTTGCTACCATATGTGATCATGGGTTAAAAGTGTTTACAATTATTATTATTGAAATAAAATAAATTTACTTATCTTACCTTACAAACAGAACAAACAAATTTATTTCCTGAAGAAACTTCTTCTTTAATACAAAAACTATGATAAACACGATGACATGAGGTACAGGAAACAACTTCTCCACCTCGATGACATTCAAAACAATACCAATCATGTTCATCTTTTTTCTAAAATAGCAAACAGTTCTCTTAATAAAAGCATGTATTTCAAAATAAGAAATTTCACATTACTATGTAAATATGATGTTAGTTTAAATTTTTTTATACTAAGAAGTTTTAAATTATAATTTCAAACAAATTGTTGCAACTAATAATTTTGTTTTATGATCAAAAGATACTAGAAAAGTTAACATAAAAAAATACTTGTCAAATTTGCCAGGCTCTATTGGGCTGCTAAACTTTGCAATTAGATATTTAGATTAATTAATATTAATAAATCAGACTTAATAATAATTTACAATACAAAAATTATAATTATTTGGAATAATATTTAAAATTAGTGTAAATAATTAAATACTCTTTTAATATATGTTATACAGGGTGTTTATAAATGAATAATGAAGTTTAAAAATTAATAATAAATCTATTTATTACCTTACACGGGTAAGCCTGACAGCATAAGCAGCAACAACTGTCCAAGTTTTTATTCATTAATCACAATCCTTCAATATGTACTGTACACCCATGGTCACACAACACACATGGTACACGGTAATCAAATTCTTCCCATACGCAGTGTAGCATGTCCTCTGTGATGGTCTATAGTGCATGCTTTATCTGATCACACAGTTCCTCAAGGTACACGGGCATTGACGGTACATAAACTTGATCTTTAACAAAAAGAAATCGCAGGATGTTAAATCTGGCAAACATGATGACCAAGGGAGCAGGATGTTGTCTGCTGTTGCACCACGTTCAATTCAGAGTTGGTGAAGACAAGCGATAAGCGAGTAGCGCATAAAAAACTTGAACAGTTGCTGCTGCTTATGTTGTAAGGTTTCCCCATGTAAGGTCATAAATAGATTTATTATCAATTTTTAAAACCACACCATTCATTTATAAACACCCTGTATTCAATAATATAATATATATAGTCAGACATGTCCAAAGTCATCCTCCCAAGTCATTCAAAATAACCAGTTCCAATTTGGGCTATTTACAAATCAATGATGCTAAAATCACATCCTCCTTTAAAGATGCTAGTTCAACTTATAGTATGCAATGTTCTCTGAACAAAATAAAACTCACTTTTTGTATAGATTCAGCAATGCTGTCTTTATCCTTTATAGTCAGAAATTATTTCTATACTATGCTAAATCATCTTATATTAATTTCCTTCACTATTTTATCATTGGAACAAATGTACACCACATACAAATATTTGTGCAATGCTGGAAAGATCTCGTTTGAGGCTGAAGAGATGTTTCAGTGAAAACCCTTTACATACAGTACATATTTCAAAAATAATTATTACTGTATTTTCAGAATGTTAAGCTGCAGCTCATCAAAGAAAAATTTATGGTTATAACATAAATGTGACCTATCAAATATGCAGCCTAACAAACAATAAAACTAATTAATTGAATATCAAACTCAGCTTCCTTTTAAAACACTTAATACTTTATAACGCTGAGAATATTTATTAAATCACAAATATTTTCAGCCTAATGGAATAGGCCATCATCAGGTGACTGGCTACCGAACAAATTTGTTCAAAATTAAAACAAAAGATAAATTAGCCAACACAATATACAAAATAACTATACTAAATACATTGAAGCCATATTAATATAAATAATAAAATAAAGTGATATAAAAACAAAAATAAAAGATTAAATGCATAAAAATATACACCAAAAAGCATCACATTATAAAGGGCAGATAGGGACTAAGAATTTGTGTGTTTTAACTTTTCTTTTATAAAGAACTTCCATGCCGAAGCTAAACCATCAGCATTCCTTGCATTGATACAGCCATCCCTTAATTTACTCTTATAGATTTCAATCTTTTCATGTTGCAAAGCCAACGATGGAAACCGCACAGTCTTGAGAATAGATGCTTCATTTCATTTAACTACTGAAGCCTCCGCTTGTGCCATACTTGACAAAACCGTGGTACAGTGTCCTTTACTAATGTCGTATCTGTGTTCTTTAAGCCTAATAGCCAAATTCCGTCTAGTGACTCCAATATAGTCCTTCATAATTCCTAGCTGTTGGTTTTCAAAGGGAATTTTATACATGCCCGCTGTTTCTTTTTTCTTAATCTTGTCCTTATTGTTTCTGAGAATACTATACAAATTAGGGCCTCTTTTGTAAACAATTTTGGATTGTTTTTTGTCTGAAACTTACTTCATGATGTCCCTGAAGTTTTTATTATATGTGAATTTCGTGATCTTAAATTGATCTGTTTCGGTTCTTAACCTCTTATCTCTTTCATAACTTTCAATTAGCCCTTTAATTGTACTTTTGCAGTAACCCAAATTTGAAGCTACTTCCTTAATTCTGTCAATCCATTTAATCCTGTCCAATACATTAGAGCAATAAGTAAACGCTCTCCTAATGAGTGCACGAAATGCTGACATTTTGTATTCATGTGGGTCATTTGAGTTAGCTGGTATGTAGAGAGGACTGTGCGTAGGTTTTATGTAAATGCCCGTTGTTATGCAATCTCCTTTTAATTGTATGTCAATATCAAGAAAATGAATTCATTTGTGACTCTTCCGTTTTAGTTTCAGTTTCAAGCCATCATTGTTGGTGTTGTTAATAGCCTGTATGAACTTGTGTATTCTTTCGCCATTTCTCCAGATAACTACCACACATCGTCCACATTTCTTTTGTAAAATACAATATCTTTTTTGAAGCTATTAACAATGTGCTTTTCTAACTTGCATAAAACCAGTTAACATAAAAACACTGACATCGTGCTTCCCATAGGTATGCCTTTCTTCTGTCTGTATACCTGCTTATCATAGCTGAAGAACTCATAACATACCAACTTGGCTAATTCTTTCAAATTATTCTCAAACACACCAACTTCTGGTTTTATGCGGAGCATAAATTCGATTAAAGCTTTGTATCAGGATTCTATCTTTACCGATGGATACAGGCTTTCAAAATCTCTAACAAACCCAACTTCTTCATCAATTAAACTTAACTCTTGTAACTCCTTAACTATGTTGGTCGGGTTATGTCAACAAGATCACTGTTACATAACTGATCTGAAATGAATCTATGTAAACTGTTTTCCAAAATGTATGTGGGCGCTCTGCATTTCTCCACTGCGGGTCTGACTTCTTTGCTTTCCTTACGTATTTTTGCAAAGGCAAATATTCTTGGAATTGCTGGCTTCAGGTTATGAGATTGTTTAAGAAACGTTAATATGGAGCTTAATGGGGATTGTTCAAGTTTTTTTTACTCTTCTTTCCACATTTGTGACAATGTTTTTATTTACCTGCTCACATTCTGTTCTTCTAATGTATTCTTCCAAGGCTTTCTTATAGCTTTTTCTTTTCATTATAACCATATATTTACTCTTGTCATCTTGTGTTAGGACCAATTCATTGTCACTCAACCACTGTTTTGCACATTTTAGCTGTTTTATTTCAATATTCTTCTTTCTGCAGGTGCGATCCTTAAGAACAGTCTTCCATCTGAAAAAAATCCCTTTCTAACTCATTAAATTCTAATAATCCTCTCTCCATTTTTGCTAATGAAGTTTGCCATAAGTTTTTGTCTTCCGGAAAGAAGTTAGGACCTTTTTGGAAAATTTCCTTGATTTCAGTTGGGATGTGGACTTGGTCCCATAAAACAAAAGGCAATGGGTTTACATTTGTTTTTTTGTTTTTTGATACTTGCTTACTCAAGATGCATGTCATTTTCTTGATATATCTTTTCCTTAAACTTTCTTGTACCTTTTCTGTCAACCTGACCACTTTCGTATTAATTTCATTGAGATTTTCCGGATGGTTAATATATATTTCATTTTCTAATGCAATGAGATCTTGTAAAATTCCATACTTTTTATTTTTTGCGATTCTGATGGACTTATGTAGACAGTCTTTTCTAATTTTTTCTTTCAACAAAGTACATTCCTTTGGAATACATATTCTATAAACAAACATTGGGAAAACTTTGTTAAGCAGACATTGCTTAAGAAATTCCAGCTTACTATTTGCCTTTATTAACTTCAATGCCAATTTCCTATACTCCTTATATTTCCTGGCCAGTGTCGCCATCTTGCTAATTAATTGAATATCAAACTCAGCTTCCTTTTAAAACACTTAATAAAACACTTAAAACCTTATAATGCTGAGAATATTTGTTAAATCACAAATGTTTTCAGAATATTTATTAAACCACAAATGTTTCAAGATTGTGTGGTCCCCATCGTTGGCTTTGCAACATGAAAAGATTGAAATCTATAAGAGTAAATTAAGGGACGGCTGTATCAATGCAAGGAATGCTGATGGTTTAGCTTCGGCATGGAAGTTCTTTATAAAAGAAAAGTTAAAACACACAAATTCTTAGTCCCTATCTGCCCTTTATAATGTGATGCTTTTTGGTGTATATTTTTATGCATTTAATCTTTTATTTTTGTTTTTATATCGCCTTATTTTATTATTTATATTAATATGGCTTCAATGTATTTAGTATAGTTATTTTGTATATTGTGTTGGCTAATTTATCTTTTGTTTTAATTTTGAACAAATTTGTTCGGTAGCCAGTCACCTGATGATGGCCTATTCCATTAGGCTGAAAATGTTTGTGATTTAATAAATATTCTCAGTGTTTTATTAAACAATAAAACATTTAAGTGCTATCAACTGCCTTAAAGTCAATCATGCCACCTGGGCTGTGTTTGAGTTTGGGCTCAATTCCATGTATTGATGAAGATGAATTTAAAAAAGATCACAAAATCATCGGTATCACAGAATTACCCCTTTGTAAAACTGCAGCCCAAGTGTGAAAAATACAGTTGTTAGCTTTCATGATAGATATATGATGTCTCTCTCTCTCTCTCTCTCTCTCTCTCTCTCTCTCCTTTACAAACTCTCCCATGGCTAATGGTCGTAAAGAAGGGAGAAAGGAAGAAAGGAAGAGATGCCTCATATCTGTCAGTCAGGTCATCTGGACCTAATCAATTTAATTAACAACTGTTCTATATTTTTT